GTAACTGCAGTATTATTGTGATGATTTTTCAAAATCAGATAGTAACTGCTGGTTAAAAATAACTTACAATGGTAAAAACGATCAAAGTTACATTGTCAATTTTATTAACAAGTAGTTAGAGCTCACTTTTCAGGTTTTCCGTAATTGAGGAGTATTTTTGGAAGTACTTGACTAAAATATCTGTATAATTATGAACTACAGTTTAACTACTGATCGATGTACAAATACTGGTTGTAAGATTAGCTATTTGATGTAATAAGGCAGTTTTAGGTAAATTCCGTGGTAAGAATTAAGAATGTGCGCGTTATATCATATATCAAAAATTCGTTTTATTATAATCTGTTGTTTCAATTATTTAGAAATATAATCAAGGTAAAGTAATAAGTATAATAATAATTAAAAATATTTTCAAAAATTAATTTAAACTATTATATTATGTGAGTATAAAAATACCAAAAATATGCAATTGGTACCATTGGTTGTGCCATCGTATATCTACAGTGGGAGAGAGAACGAGTGAGACCCCGAGTAAGAAAACACACAGATATGAAAGCTTTTGAGGCAGAAATATTCACTAGTCAGTGAGGCAATATAAAATGATAATATTACGTGAAATATTTTAAATCAATGTAAAATATAACTCATAAAATCAAATTCGCGTAAAAAGTTGAGTACACCTTGATGTAATGTTGTAAAATGATTAATAAAAAACAACTGAGCGTCAATATAAAAAAAACCATTTCGGGCAAAAGAGACAATTTTCTTTTGAAACCTTCTTGATAGTTAGATTTTGTCTGCAATTTCGCGTATAATATGTCACTTTGCTTGTAACAACAACATATAAATAACAACAAAAATAAAAACATACAAAAATCCACTAGACTTAAAAATATACTACACACGCTTATATGGGCTTAGCGAAGTGCCAAGTAAAAGGGCGCAAAAGCAGATAAATTCATTTACTTAGGTAATTAACTGTAAAAACTCATCATAACAAAACATTTTTTTTTTCAAAACACATGTAATGCTATGATGTCGCGTGTTGTTAATACGACTCCACCTCAATACTTACCACTAATATCAATTCCGACGCGACGTTATGTAAATCGTTAGGTGTGTTTTATTACGCGGGGGACGACATGCTCTACAAAACGCTACATTGCCCTGAACGTTTCTTTATTGTTTATATAATGCTTATAATGGATTCGACTAATTTATTAGAGGCAACTTAGTTGAGAATGTCCTTAGGTAATGATATTTTCTGACATCGGCCATTAATTTATGCTATATTATTTATTGCAATAAATTTAACATAAAGAAAGATTACATATTATGTTACTATTTACTCGAATTATTAATCATTGATTCAATAATATTATTAAATTTTATTTTTTGTCAGTGACAAATTAATAGAAAACTAAATTTTATGCATTATAATTATTAGCAACTTCTACTCGAGATTCGAAGTACAAAAGTATATCCAGTATATCAATGAAGTTTCTATACGTAGTAAGACGTATTGGTTACAGGCATGAAATAAATATATAGAAAACATCGGTAATAGTTAATATTCGTGGCAGACCATTAAGATGTTAGTGATTTAAAAAGTTGATAAAAAATGACATATAGTTCAAGCACTTGATTTTTTTATGAATAGTTCAAATCATTGTCCAGGACAATCAGTATAAAGGAGAGCACGAGATACCAGAATTACTTACGTAAGTACAAAATTATCCATAGTAAATAGTATACGGAGGAATATCAATTTTATCATAAGAATGCTAAGAGATTACAAGATTATTAAAGACTTAGATACATTAGTTCCGCTAATTGATATGGCAACACAGTTCGATATACAAGTACATTTTATTGTTAGTACATTCTAAGCTTCAGCGTTTCACTCTCATGTGGGAATGAGTGCCACAATAAATAAAAAATGTTATATATAGATATATATATATAATTGTTTAATAAAATTGTTTCTTATATATAATTGTATAATAAAATAAACAAATACAATAGCTGTCAAAAACCCAGTAAAAGGAGGTATTGTTTGCTCAATGCTAGTCGTACGAGACGACTGATTTATAATCAAATCGGTCGACGAAAGAGCCTTTAGGACTCTACTAATGCGATAAAAACCATATTTAAGTTATATTAGTTATATAAGGCTTCAACTCTATACATGTTGATAAGAATAATTTTATAAAAGAGCAACTGTTGAGTTTCCGTCTTTTTAACTCGATTGAAATTTATTTCATGTCGACAATAGCGTACTCACGGACTGACTACACTGACATTTACATGTGTAAATGTAATACTTTCTTGGAATTACGCGAATATTTGACATTTTAAATAAAACTATCTTTTCGTCTTTTTTCGCGCATTTACTTCGATTTGGTTCTCGACGTTTCGAATGTTTTACAGCAATCATGTCAGGTCACGAGAGAGTTGGATCCGCGATAAAATCCGAAAAATTAGTTTTATTTTAAAAGCATAAATGTAAGAACTGACGATTTAAAAGTGTTTGTAAATATATGTATAAATAAAATATTATATTTCATTTTTGACTGCAATGCAAAAGTTGATTGCCATTAAAATGAATGATTATGTACAGATATTAGGAATTTGCATTTAACAACGAAAAAACAATAAGAAACAATTCGTTTAACTGTTACTGTGGCACTATCCCCATTCGCATACGACAACTCGTCACTCTTATATAATGACTACAAAATTAAGGCGCTACATTAAACTTTTTCGCTAACACAAGTTTATATTATAAGAATTTAATAAAGAAAATATTCATTTGCTTTGAATATAAATATATAAAAAAACCATGTCAATTTATATTGCTGAGGACCAATAGTAGGTTCGAGCCGACGTAAAAGGATATAAGTAACAGATATTATATGAGGTTGTGATTTTATTATTAGCGTACGTACGTTTAGACCGACGACTTGAAAGCTTAAATATTAAAATAAATATAATAGTAAATGTTTAACGTTTTTTTTAAATTAGCCCCCATTCAAATTGCAAATATTTCTTAGGCTTCACATTAAGCAACAATATGTACGCATTGTAAAACAAAGTTACATCTAAAATGGTCTACGGCTTACGTATAAACAAATTATATAATAAAAAAGTTAAAATATCTATCGTAGACGTATATGTGCTATGCCACACTACGATAATCTACGTACGATTTCTGTTCGCACAATATTGCGATTTAAATATATCAATACAGCGATTAAGCCAACCATATTTTTTTTAATAAAGCTAATTGACTGTTGGGCCAGTGGTAGCCCAGTGGTAACGCGCTCACTTTGGAAACCGAGTGAAGCGGGTTCAAATCCCGGGTCTCACATCTCTGATATTTTTCTGTGCAAATCATTTCGAGCTTGATTACCACTTGTCTTACGGTGAAGGAAAAAATCGAGAGGAAACCTGCGTGTCTGAGAGAACTTTATAATTTATAGAGAGGCATGAGAAGTCCGCCAGCCCGCACTTGGCCAGCGTGGTGGACTATGGCCTGATTCCCCTCGTACTGAAGGGAGGCCCGTGCCCAGCAGTGGGACGTCAAAAAGGGCTGAATACATTTGACCGTATAACAATTTGTAACTTTACTGAATGGACATAGCCAGTACTTGCTATATTAACGTTATTTTCGAATATATATTCTATAAAAAAAACTGTTTTTGACCGAGTTCAAAAGGAGAGGGGTAAGTACCCCAATTAGGATTGAGCAATTCGGCTGTACTTTTTTTTATTGAGTTGCATTGATCTTAGCAGTATTTAGCTACAGAGGCTCATAGCAGAATACTGTAGTGTGGCCTAGCACTTACAATAAACTATTTTTAGATACAACTTTATATTACGAACAATACAAACTTACACTCTACTTAACGCATTCCACACCATTATAATACAACATTTTGTATCAAAATATACATAAATCGAAGTTATACTGACTTAACAATATTCGTTTCCAAATGATCAATGAACGATGTGATCATACGCTAATTATATCCCATACAATGAATTGCCATAAAAACACTGCATACCATTACTACTAATGAATTAATACGAGATAGTTATTGAAATCTTTATATTCCATTATATATTACCTACATTACGGCACATGCAAGGAACAAAATTGTAACTCAGCATTGAGAAAATTTTTAAATAGAAACTAAATTCCTCATATAATATATAAGATTAAACTCAAAATTGATACAATACTGAGTTACAATGTTTTTCTTTGCAGGTGTCGATTTTTTAAAGCAAACCTATTCTACATTGTGGGAATGCACAGAATATAAAACACTACTCTACAGTTATATACAACAAATAAATTATAAAAAATATATTATAATCAATAACATATCATACAACTCCTTACTGGCTTAGAATTAAATAAAAATCGAGATTAATTCTTTGGAAGAGTCCAGGATACATCGTTACAACGTATATATATAAAGCAAAAATAAAAAAAACTCCTTAAAAATAAACCACAGTTCTGGAATATACTGGAATGATTGTTTGAGCGATGCTATAATTATGAAAAAAAACATAGTGCAAACGCTTATTAAAATGAGATTCGCGGTATAAAATTATTAAAAAAAATATCAAAAAGGTTCTACTATCATTATTAATATTAATATAATTAGGATTGCAATCTAAAATAGGAATGTTTCTAGTCCAGCTCACTTGGTAACCTTAATTTTTTAATTTAAAGCATTATTTATAACATAAATCAAGAATCAAGAACCAAGATGGCGGTCGTTGCCATTCGTTGCTATTCAACTTCAACATATTATGTAACATTTCAACTTCACCCTATACATTTTAAAGCGAACATCAAAACCTTTAATTGCTATTACAAATGATATCAAAATTGGGTTAAGCATCGCTGGTTTGAATCATGTAATCAATTGACGTATATTTAGGGGTTAATTAGGGAGGTAGGGGGGTGGGGGTCCGTGGGGGGTGGCGGGTTATAGGGGTTGCGTGGCCGCCTCACCCGGCAGCGCGTGCACGCGCGCGGACAGCAAGTTGTGTAGGATGAACACTGCGGGCTTTGGGCTGCCTTCCATGTCTAGTTCCTGTTCATATTATACATTTTTGTTTATTTAACACAGCTAAAATTAAATAACAAGGGTTTCACATGAATATGAATTATTTAATGAAAATATGGAACCCTTGCAAAATCAATCGCCTTATGTGAGTGAATGAATCTGGGTGTAGTATAGTATATAGATATGTGTAGTACAGTATGTAGACGTGTGTAGTATAGTATGTAGACGGGTGTAGTGCAGTATGTAGACGTTTGAAGTATTATTATAGTATATACGTGTGGTAGCGTGTTGGGATGTCGGCGTACTCACGAGCGTGTCGTCGTCGGCGAAGTGCAGCCAGAGCGCGGCGCGGTCGTCGTCGGCGGAGGCGCGCAGCGCGTGCAGCGGGCGGCGGTAGAGCGCGCGCGCGCCGCCGCGGCCCAGCGAGCCCGCCGCCTCCCACACCACCACGCCGCCCGCGCCCAGCGCCAGCCGCGCGCACGCGCCGCGGTACCGGCACCCTGCGCCACCCACGCGTACGTGTAATGCATGGTGTGCACCGAGCACAGGTCGAGTAATGCCCCAGTAGGTATTTATTCATTATTGAAATACTGACGCTTTTCCGCGGCTCCGCTCGAGTATTTGATTTATTTATTACTATATCTTTATAGATTATATCCTATGTGTTACTCTTATACGTAAGCTGTATTACTGTAAAGTTTCATCAAAATTTGTTTAAAGTAGTTTTTGCGTGAAAGACTTGCGAACATACATCCATTCGTCCACCTATAAGTCCTCACAAACTTTTTGGTTTATAACGGGGCCAATACGTAGTAATTAGTTATGAATGATGCACTCAGACTCACGGAAGGTGAAGTCCGGCTGCGCGCGCACGGCGTGGTGCGCGCCGTCCACGAGCGCGCCGGCCACGGCGGCCAGGTCGTGCGGCGTGTCGGCGCGCAGCGCGCGCACGCACAGGCCGGCCGCCGTGCCGGCGCGCACGCCCAGCGCGGCCGCGCGCGTGCGCCGCCACCACGCCAGACGCGTCGCCGCCAGGCTGAAGCTCTCCGTGGGCGCGCACCACGCCTCAGACGACCACGGCGCCGCCTCGTATAGCCTGTCACAGTTTGGTCGACATTTTTAATGTTTTTTTTCATCAAATGAGATCATATAGTCTGTGTGCACATTTTGTATGAGCCTCTTTTTGTTTTTTTTTCAATTGAGTATAGTAGACACCACAGGCGTTTTGACCGTGATATTTCTCTTTTAGTGATTATTTACTAGATCCTAGAAAAAACTAATAATAATAATATTTATACTTATTTGTAATTATTATAAATACTCATGAATATGTTGAATAACATAATAAATTAATTACACATACACGAAGTCGGTGTGCTTTGATTTGTATCGGATGGCACCGACTTCGAAAATATCCAATTAAGTATCTATAGTAAATGAAAACTACCAATCAGTTATTTTCTACTTTTTAATGTCTATTTTTTTATGTTGGTTTTTATTATTTTTTAAAAAGTTTTTGTTTTTCTATTTTTAGTGTAGACATGTAGTAGCAAAGAAATAAGAAAATATTTCCATAAAATATTCGCTTAAACCATATAAATTAAATTGATGCCGATTTTTATATGAAGACTGACAAACTGAAATTCGTTTTATTAGTAACACTAAACATCAGGCTCTAAGGTCCAATTCTAATGCAATGGGCTTGTCGGATCAAACAAAATAAGCCCAAAAGAGTTCCACCTATACACCTGGTCTTACAAAAACAAACATTGTCCAAATTGGTTAATAAATGATGGAGTCCTGAGGTAACAAACATAAAAAAATACAGCCGAATTGAGAACCTCCTTCTTTATGAAGTCGGTTGGATATATGTAATGTATCGTAATTACCATAATATTTATTTATTTATCATTGGGAAACATACAGCGTACCTATAGTTAATAAAAAATTTTTGAACCCATTATTGAATAAGTCGATGTCATGATATTGCTTATTATACATATCTTATTTTATATATATACAGGATCTTACAATATTATGTTATTTCTATTTTTATATGTTATTTATATTTCTTTATTTCGTTGTTAGGAGGATAGAATAGGATATTACTTCGACCATTTCAGGTCTATTGTGATCAAATAGTACCTCAATTCACGGTCTGTGATAGCTACAAAAGTAGGCTGCCAACCATCTGCTTCATCCGAATCGTCGGATCCACCGGAAGCCCCCATCTAGCAAAAAATATAATACTTTATAACATTTTTAAAATTTTAGTAATTTTTGTGTAAAATTAAAATTAACAAATATTGATGCCATTTTTGATTTTTTTGAATTCATTTTGTTATTTTAAGGGTAAGTCGCTCCCGTGACCATGATTACTGTAAAGCATTCGAAACGTCGAGAACCAAAAATCAAAATAAATCCGTGAAAAAATCCGAAAAGATAGTTTTATTTAAAATGTCAAATATTCGCGTAAATCTAAGAAAGTATTAAATGACGGGTATATTTTACTTATTCTATAACTTTGTTTTAAATACGGCACCATAATGGTAGTTAAGTCGATAAAAGCCTATTTTAATCCAGAACATAAGCATTCTAATCCATAAAGCTATTACAACGTGAAGAAATGAATAATACACCCATTTACTAATGACATTTACATTAATATTATTAGTATTTTTCATTTTACACACAATAAATGTATATCGTATCCAAATGTAGTCATAATAAATCTCAATTAAGCTTGGTATAGCTCTAGATCTACATATACATACATAATTCTGGACTTGGACAGTAGTTTATATTTTCATATCATGCCATAGCCATAAATCGACATTTAAAGACCAGTAATTATTTAAAAATCACTCAACAATATTAATATAACTATTTAGATTTCTAAAACAAAAATAAACACTTTAACAAATTCAATATAAAAGCGAAAGATTGTAGGTATAATGTGTATACTATGTTTGTTAATCCTTCACACTGAAGCGACAAAAGACGGATTTGGATGAAATTTAATAGCGCACTTAAAAAATTACCTTTTCGCTTAAATGTATGGCAAAAAGTCACCTAGAGAGTAGACACCGAGCGGCCAGCAACGTAGAGTAAATCGCTAATCCAAAGGCAAAGATAACCAATCTCTCACAAACTCACATGATCCTGAGGCGGTCGCCTCGCAAGCCAGCCCGCGTACCGAACGTCCCCCACCAACGGCCTCAGCCGGGGGCGGGCGCGAGCGAGCGCGGCGCGCGCGGCGCGTCGGGCGGCGGCGTGCAGCGCGCGGTGCCAGCCCGCCGCCGACGTGCTGCACGGGGCGCGCAATGCGAGCGCGTGCACGCCGTCGGGGGAGTAGATCTCTATTGTGCGTTCCTCTGGACAATTTTGTCAAATTTGTTTGTCTTTTGTTGTTTTTCTTATTAGTACTTAGTGGTAAGCTACAGCTTACCACTAAATAAACCAGTATAATGCTTAAAACCTATATGTTGTTTGTCCTTTTAATATTATAGTGAACCTCAAGAAAAAACCTTAGGTACTATTTATTTGTCCTAGTGGTAAGTGGTAATATTAAACTATAGCTTAGGGGCCATCCATAAATTACGTCACACGATAACGGGTCAACGAAGTGTGACTTTGTGTGAACAGGGGCAGGGGAAGTCATAAGCTTCGTGACGTCACATGTTAAAATCTAAAGTATTAAAATAAAAAACATGACTAAACGCAAAAAATACAAAAACGGATGATTCTTTTTTTACGCTATATAAAGTCATTAATTGTCTTATTAATAATATAACTCACGCCAGTAAAAAGAGGGGCGATTAGATCTTTGACTGACTAGATCAGATCACATCATAAAACAAAGCGAGTTTCATAAATATGATAATTTGTAAAGATGTTTGTTACTCAGTTACACGAAAATTCCTAAACAAATATCTCTGGTTCTTATGGAATTAAACATAATAAGAATAATTATCATTCATTAATAGTATATACATACTACATTGATGCAGAAAAGGTTACCAAAAAGTTAATTGTAGCACATGTCTTATTAAGCCAGGATTTCGTAGAAGTCAATTATAATTTAATTTAATTTAACTTTTTCTGCTATAATGTAAAACCTCATTATTGTTTTTTGACACTATGTTATGTTTGGTCAAATCAAATTCAAATTAAGAGTCAAGGCTACGTCTCGAGCGGGGTTGAGGCGCCATAACATTCGTAAATGATATGTGGATTAAAATCATCATTGGAGAGTTGTGTTGATATTGTAGATAGAAGTCAGATTGGTGTCAAGAACCCGCTGCTCTATTAAACTATTAGAATTATCGTTTCAACTTTATAAAATTCTGATTTCCCTAATTAAATTGTAATGAGCATTGAATACTTTATTTTATGTCCGCATTGAGTCCTGATAACGCCCACAATTTCATCATTGTAATCACTATCACTAACAATGATGTTGAGAATATGGATACCCCGTCATGTAGATTTGAATCATCATCAACCAGTCTTAGATAACTTTTCTAAGAAAATTAAATAGTACCTGGGTCATGGTGTCGCAAATTCTTTGCAACGCAGGCCATTAATAGTGGCACATATCTTGTGTCTGCTCGCCGTCGGCGCGGCGAGGGCGGTGACGGTGGCGCTTCTACCATGTATCCGCGCTGCAGCTCCCACCCCACCTCACTTATGATGGACGCCTTCCGGAAATATGGTGTAACTTCTCTAAGGTATTTCACTGTAAGGCAAAGAAAAACCAAATGAACATTTCTTAGCTTAGCTTTCATCTGCCAGGACCTGGACAGCCCCATCTTTCAGAGGACCTAGATGTCATGTATATGTACTATAGCATCATTTTATACCATGCATAAATCTATGACAGAAAAATAATCATAAATTAACAAGATAAGGAGGATATAATGCAAAGATTTAAAACTTCAAACAGACCCTCTGTTTGAATATTTAAATCTTTACATTACATCTAGCTCATAACACAGAGATCATCAAATGAAAGAGTAAGCTAAACTATTGGTGAGCTTGTTATAATTTTTAGTGATGAAACGGACAGTTGTTGGCCGGATACCGGATATCCGGCGGCCGAATAATAAGCTGATTGTCACGTTGAGTGTTGCGAGAAGTACATATGTTTAATGTTACTGTAAGAATTTACTATTTAGGTTTATACAGGTATCATCATGGCTTAGTGATTAGCGATAGTCAATTATTTACTTGCTCAATCTCTTTGCAAATTGCAACCCTTATAGTTGGTGGATGGTTAACTCGAAGTACACATACAATACTTTGACAAGCGTGAGTGGATACTTACACTTGTCAAAGTCTGCCAAAGTATATGTTGCACCTTGTTGCTTTTACAAGATAATATTGCGTTATTTACCTCACGGATATTTTTTTCTTGCAGTTAATTAAAGAAAAATAAATCGCAGTTTTTAAATATGCCTTATCAGACCAGATATTGCGTTACTATCCGGTATCCGGCCGGATAGTAAAATAAGGCCAGATAGGCCGAATACAGGATAGTTACGGGATATCCGTTTCATCTCTAATAATTTTATTTGCACTCAAATAGTATGATACTATTACCTAAAAACTTCAAGTTCAACCGTTTTTATATTATTTTAGATCTGAAAAAAGAATATTATATTTCATATGAGTAAGACAATCAACAGATATATTGGATATCTTTTATTCTAGTAAAAACACTAATGAGATCTATTAGTTCTCATTCCATCCATTAGTTCCCACGGGGGATCGTTCATTTTTCCGGGATAAAAAATAACTTGTTGTTTGACCGGCAATATAAGGTATCAGAATGTTAAATTTTACTAAATTAGGTTCATAAGTTGTTGTGTACTAAGCTGTATAAGATACTATAGTTTTTTAACTATCCCACGGGAACTATTTAATTTTCCGGGATAAAAAGTATCTAAGATGTTGCCCGGGGACATAAGGTACCACCATGCAAAATTTCACTGAAATCGGTCCCATAGATCCGGAGATTAGCCCGTACAAACAGACAAACAGACAGAGAAACAAAATATTTGAAAAAATCTGGATTTGTTCTATTCGTCTTCTTACATCCCCCTGACTCGGTTTTTAGCATTTTTTTTGCTATGTACAGACATTCGACCTCTACTGTTTTATTATAGTATAGATTTATATTTTGATGTTAAAAAGACTACAATCAAAATCTGTTATAACGACATCGAAGGGACCACTCATATTTGGTCGTACAAACCGATAGTCGTAGCAGCCGGTGATGCTTTTTAGGTACAAAGTATTTTTTATGAAGTGGTATTATTGAATGTGTACATATATATACAGAGAGAGAGACAGAGAGCAAACAACTGAGCAAAATCGTTTGCTTTTTGTTGAAGAATTGGTCCATTTATTGGCACATTATTTGTCCTTTGATATTTAGACCACTTTAACAAAGCTTCCTCTATCTTCGTATGCTTCGTTGCTCTGGCTCGTTTCATTTTCAAAAAATTGCTGTCATAAAGGGTTTGAATTTTTTCCCTCTCTTTCCAAATGGTTGGCATTGTCGAGTGTGATACACCATATTCTTTTGCCAAGTCTTTGTTTGGAACTCCGCTCTCTAGCTTTGATATAATATGTAATTTTTCCTCAATATTAATTTGTTTTCTTTTTCTTTGTGACATGTTAAGTTTCACAAATAACTCGACTATATGATTTGGTGCATCTTGTGTACAGATAAGTAAGAAACTGAGTGAAGAGATATGAAGAAGCGGGTTTTGATTATACTGCATGCACATGTATTTTGTTTCTAAGAATTACAAAAGACCCAAAACTCGACAAGTTTTTGTTTACTTTTGCGATCTTAATAGCCATTGACCATTATGCTGAGCCCCCGAGAGCCAGATGTGGATACTGTTACCTATTCAAATTGCTTACAATACAGCTCGTCGTTCTAACAGATATAATTCGCCGAAGATATTAGTTAAATGTAGTTGCTTAGAGGTATGTCGTAATAAGCAATGTCGTAAAAAGCAATGTTTTTAATAAGGCGGTCATATAGCATTCAGCCGGGACCTTCGATTTTGGTCAATATAACCGATAGGTTGTTCTAAACGATGTCATCATAAACAGTTTTAACTCTATTTTATAAAATCATAAAATCTAATGTCGTTCAAAGTATATATGAGAGGCCTCAAAGTTGATGTTGAAATGCCTCTCAAATTAGTTGAGGTCAATTTGATCATTTCATCATATTATGCTAACACAGTTAATAATTAGGCTAATTCAATTATAGTTATAAAAGCTATACTTTGCTCTCTTTTACTAAGCAATAATTTCATTTGTTCAAATAAAAATTGTACATCATTATAAGATACAAAATATGTATTTATCATAAAATATGTATGTTTTACCTTCTAGCTGGACCATTTTGCCTGCTCTTTTAAGGGCCTTTACTGCCTCTTCGTGTGTGGCATCTTTTAAATCTTCTCCATTTACTGAGAGTATAGCATCTCCTACATACAACTGTTCAGTAAGGTCTGCTGCCATACCCTTAAATATCTTTGATATGAGTATAGGCATATTATTCTCTATTCCACCTTTTATAGATATTCCCAAACCATTATTGTCCGATTTTACAACTTGAACTAATCGTTTTTGGTTTGCAATTGCTTCTGGAACCTCAGTAAAATCACTATTCGGTGTTTCTACATTGTTATTGTTAAGTGTTCCATTGAGAGTTGTAGTGGCATCGTAGCCATCGTCTAAGCATACACTAAGATAGTCATCCTCTAAGGAACAATGTACTCTATACCATACGCCACGCACTAGTGTTTCTAACAAACCAGATCTTACACCGGTAGCATTTGGACTCTCACTGCCGCCGCTGGATGCTCCGTTTTCCACCATAATTTTCACTAAATTAAATATCCAGTTGGTATAACTCTACAAGACAATGTACAATTGTCACAAAAAATACAGGAAAGATAAAGCCAAAAGCTACTATGAATTTTCGTTTAATATATCTTCAAGGCATTATATGACTTTTCATTAAAAATATTTCCTTCCTCTTGAATAATAATTTTATTAATTCATTGACACCAAATAAATACAACTATTTATTATTTGATATTTCTCAATCAATATTACTATAACTGAATACAGATAACAAAGTAAGATGATATTTATAAGGAAAGTCCTCACTAGCAACATTCATATTTTATGATACCGCTTTTTTTAAACCAATAAGTACTTTTTTTACTTTCAAGGCAACAAAAGTTAAAGGTTAAAAATATATTTTACTTTGAATTTGAAAATCTTTTTTTAAATTTACATAGTAGCTGTACAGAGTAGCTTATGATTTCGTACATAACTTTATAGACATACCTTTTTTTTCTTTAGATATTTTGCTGGGCTGCTATATATTTATCTACGTAGAGGATGCAAAAAGTTACAACAAAAAAATCTACAATTAAGTTGTCTTATGTATCCAGTGTGTATAGCAGATTGTCTTGTGTAATTAGATATAACAATAAAAATTATAAATCGAATAACAAAAAACGTACAAATCGATTTTAGATAATATAATGGAATTTTTGAATCTGTTATATTGTGGCGACTAAAATATTTACAAGGCAACACCGATTGCGTTGCCAGTTTGGCGTTTCAATTGTTATATAGGTAATATACTCTGTGGTATTTTTCTTGTACATGTACGCTCTTTTTAATTTTTGCCGCTATTGATATTGTACTGTGTACATGTAGAACAAAAGATTTCTTGTAATTTGTAACAAACAAAAAAAATAAAAAAATAATACTTCCTTTTAATAGATATAAACAGATTCGAGAAATATAATACATATTATGAAATTATAATCGGCTTAGTATGAAGAAGCACATAATATATTATATAAGTGTACAAATATAATATAATATTATGTTCTTGTGTTGTACTGTATGCATCACAGCCTGCAGATTTGCCGCTATCTGCCGGATGGCAAAAAACTGTAAAGGAAATTTCATAATCTTTTAAAAAATGTACTTTGTAACGTCCGATCCGTGTATGTCTATCGCCTCACGCCTGTGATGAATACTGTAGGTATATTTCCTTGAAATATTGGATCCAACACCAAATGAAATCCGATCATCTGTTTACACTCTAATGGCGCGGCTACATTAGCGGAATACAGCGAATATTCGTGCTTTCGCAACATGTGTGGCCGAGTAGTTCGGCGCATTGCGTAGTATTCAGATGATGACAAATGCTTATCGCGGCACTGTTGGTAAACTGGCGCGCATGAAAGGGTTTTAGCGCGACAATATTCGCTTGCGTGGCTACACTTCGCCACTTGAGTTACAGTCCAAACTTTGAGCGGAACGGACGTGTGATATTTTGGCGGGAAAGTGACGACGCAACTACAGTATGGATTGGAATGAAAAAAAATTGAGTTTATTTAATTTTATGAAATGGAGAGCATTATAATTTATACGGGATCCTCGTAACCCCGACCACAAAAGGAAAATTTTTGGTATATGATGCGTGGGTTAGAATTAAAAGTAAGCTCACATCTAAATCTAAACGGTATTCGCACAATAATAATTATAATTTATCGACATACAACACAATTTCCATTTTACTTCTCAAGAATTATCACTTACATTGGCCGCGAAACAGGCGAACACATTGACTGCTTGTATGTAGACAAGAGCATCGCGTATACCCGTACACGTTTTTATCGCGCCAACGCGACACGAATATTCGCGCGCTAATGTAGCCGTGCCAAAATAGTAGAATTGATCATATTACTACAGACGTATAATAATTACTGTTAAATACGTATACATAGTATAATTATTAGTATAAACTGCTTTCATTAGTCTCAAAAACGACAAGGGAAATCTATTCTCTAACAGCACATAAAATAAATGCTAGGAATTAGGAATTACAGGCCGAAAGTGGCCTAGTTGAAAATTATGAAACAGTTGTGGTTTTTATTTGAGCTACAGTGAAAAACCGTAAGTGCAGTTTTGTATTGAATTTTTTGAATCTCATATACCATGATATTAATATAATAATTTCCCTAATGATTTTTAATGTTAAAAATTAATAACGAACTTGGCCCTATAGTGTAACTCCTTGACTTTTTCATTCTTCATTAATCTATGTAGGTACAATATTCAAAAAGAAATACGAGTTTGACAATTGAGTATTGACCAATGACATTGACGTTAGTGTCACATATGAAAAGCATTGTTAAATTTTTGATTAAGCAGGAATATTTCGTCAATAATAAAAATGAGTTCGAATTTGTCTGCTATAGAATTATTAAACTTGGGAAATGAAGGGAGGGTAAAGCCAGTTTTAAATAAATACTGGTCATATATTCTCGGCGGCTTCTTCGGAATGGGGACAGGAATTATCATAAATTTTGGCACCAAACGTCCTCTTATGAGCGGTAACATTACATAATGATAAAAATATAATATAATTGACTTTTATTAAAATAGGAATTAAGGAAAACGTAAAATGACATCCTTTGTGATGTTTTAGGCATTCAAAAGCATGTACTTGGAGTAGTTGGTTGGACAGCTCTATTAACGTATGTGTCTAATAAACGAGAAGAATATTTAGCAGAAAAGGATGCAGTTTTAAGACATTATATTCAATTACACCCTGAAGATTTTCCTACACCTGGTATGTAACATATTAAATACTACCTAGTTGTTATTGCTTACGATATAAATATTAGATAAATTGTAACAATATTAGATAGTTAACATTCTTTGTTGTTTCAGAGAGAAAGAAGATTGGTGATGTGCTAGAACCATGGATACCTATTCGTTAAATTTATTACTTATTGTACATATCTGTGCAAAACCTTAGTTGAAGAGTTAAGAAGTCATGTTGAAATAAATTATTGTAACTATTATTTCTTTATTTAATTAAGTAGTAAGGATCATATTAATATTCCCCTGCAACATTTTGTTGAATCAAGGATTGAAATATAAATGCTTCAATACTTTAAGTCTCAAATAATTTTAAATAAATGTAAATTCTTGGTTATCACTATCCATCTTTATATTTCCTCAAATTTGTGTTCTTTTTGGAATACTGTTTCAAATAATATATTCTAGAAACTTTTTATGAGTTTCAAAGAGTTATGAGTACGTAATTTACATAATTATAAAATGTACTTTAAGGCTTTAGCATCTAGTGGAGGTCAATAATAAATATTTTAATTTTTGACAATATTCTTTAAAGTATATATTAAACTAAGTTATTCTTATTTTATAGAGATAATTGGGTTTGTTTTATATGTTTGATGTCCCAGACTTAAATGCATGACAATATTCATCTGAGAAATATAATTGTAGATGAAAATCTAGCAGTTTGAAACTTAGACTGTCATAAAATATGTCCCAATCTATTAGCCTAAAAGGTAACAGCGTCTCACAACTTCATTATCCACTTTGGAGCTTTGATGTATTTTTTATCCAAATTATATTAAATAAGAACTCCTAACTCTTATATAATCATTTATTATTTATAACTTTCTCATCATGATAATTGATAGCTGAAGGAATAAAATTCAACACACTTAAATATTGGCAGTCTTATGTTGATGTAAGTAATGATGCGCAAGTGGTGCCATATAATGGAAGATTTCCCCACAAATTGTACAAGAGAGAGTTTCATGAGCTATGTTATTTTGATATGGATGACTAATATCTTTTGTTTTATTTTCGTAAGCCAAAAGTGGATTGGTCATAGTAAGATGATTTTTATCATTTGGTAAATTATCTTCTTTATCTGGCATTATATTGTTCTTTTTTTCATCAATCCCAATTATGTCTATATTGGTGTTGTATTCAGTCTGAGTTTTAGAATGTTCATTGATATCATGTTTTCTGAGTTTGTGGATTTTCTGAAAAATAAAAAAAAATTATAAAAAGAAATTATAATATGTCTGTGATTACAAAGCTACCCCTTTTGACCTTATATGGTTATTTGTTTAATACCATAATCTTTAAACATTTTCTTTGTTTTATAATTTATTATAACTTTTACGCAATTTTCACTGAAACTTGAAAGTATTTGGAGGAGTAGAAAGTACTTTTTAAATCGGAGTTAATCTGGATATGATTGAATAGCTTCTTTAAACATTCCTTCAGTATACGGAGACTTAACACAAACCATAAGAATTCTTTGAATTTTATCATATTTTTATCAATACATTGCTACTGGTATGAATAGTGTATAATTAACTGATTATGAGAAAAAAGTATTTGTTATCTTACGAGATCTCTATTATGTATATAAGCAGCACCACAAACATCACACTTGAAATTCTTCGCTCCTCTATGTTTAAACATATGCCTTGTCAGTTCACTGGATGTTATGAATGATTTGTTGCATATTGAACAAGTCTGAAAAAAAAACACCTAAGAAATTTAAAATATCTATAATAAAAATGTTAAAATATACATGCAAAGTGCATGAAATATGTACATGTATAAATTGGTCAAATGCGAGTCGAATTTGCACACGAAGGGTTCCGCACCATCGTACATGTACTTTTAATCAATATGACCTTTACTCTATGTATGTAGTATATAATATACTAGCATTGCACGCGGCTCCGCCCGCGTTCAGATGACCAAACACCAAATACTTAGGTTTTACATATTAGTAAGTATATACTCTTACATTGCAGTTTTTGTATTTTTTCTCAGAAATGAGACATTTTCCCGCGGTAAAAAGTATCCTATATGTTGATCCGGATAACCAGCTATCACCATACCAAATTTCATCAATATCCCTCCAGTGGTTTTTCTCTGATGCGTTAACAGACACAAAAATTCTAAAAACTATAGATTCGGCCTCTGTATCGATAATAATGTTTATTTCAATAAGATTTTGCAAAATATATTTAATGTACAGCTTCGGCTTAGTGACAATTTTATTATATGTATAGATTAACTTCGATGATCGATTATGAACATTAAAAAATGTTTCTTGTATTTTTATTTATTTTTATATTTGTTGTTATAGCAGCAATAGAAAATCATACTCTGTGAAAATTTTAACTCACTACCAATTACGGTTCATGAAATCGAGATCTCTGACAGATGGACGGATGGACTGACAGTGGATATTAGGGTTCCGCTTGCATCCTTCAGGTATGGAACCCTAAAAAGTATCAAAATGAGAGACAAGAAATAGAAAAAGACAGGAATTTTTATGTTAACTTTCAGGTAGTAATTTTAATAAGTATAGTCGTAAAATACTAGCGACTCACCCTCGCTTCTCTTGATTCCCCATACACACTTTCATCCCCATTTTCACCCCCTTAAGGGGTGATATCTGGCAAAAAAGTATCCTATGTCCTTCCCAGGGTTTCAAACTATCTTCTTACCAAATTTCATCTAAATCAGATCAGTAGATCCAGAGATTACGCCGTACAACGTCACAAACTTTACCTCTTTATAATATTAGTATAGATAACTGTAAGTAGATAGTAAGAAATGTCTTGAAAACGAATGGTAACTGGGCTATTTTATTATTACCAGTATTTATTTTTTAGTGAGATTAATAGCGTTCACTAACTACACTAAACTTCACTACTACTTTTTTTTTATGTTGGGAAATGCATTTACTTATACCACCTGTATACATATAGATGGTTACATGGGACTCACTGGCTAGAAAAGCCAGTGCTACCCACTAAAACCACCTCCATCATAAGGGAGCGTCGCAGAATCGCTAAGGCACTGAACAACGACGCCTCGACGACATTTCACTACTACAACTACAATGTTAAATATAATTCAACACATATACAATATAGTAAAAATATGTAAGTGCATATTAGCTGGTCTCTATATTTTATTATTGCTTTTTTATTAATTTTTAGCTTAATTGCGTTAAAGAAATCAAAACATATTTACATGATCTTTTTGTCCTGTGTGTATTTTTAGATGAGCTTGTAAGTTCCCTTGTGCTGAAAAACTTTTGCTGCAAAATATATAGAAATAATTAATTATATATTTTATCATTAACATTCAAATTACTTTTTATATTCATTTTATTACTAAGTTATTTAGAAGAAAAAATCTGTTCTAATGTTTTAATATGTATTTTTTTTATTTTTATAAAAAAAAAAAATAGATATCATATTTTTATACCTGCATACATCACATTGAAAAGGTTTCTCCCCTGTATGGACACGCAGATGAATAGTCAAATTATGTTTTTGTGTGAACCTCCGAGGGCAATACATACACACAAATGGTTTGTCTCCAGTATGAGTTCTGAAAATTTTAATTTATTTTTATGTTTTTGAAACTTCTAATTCATATTAGTTACCTTAGCTACACTCGGAAGGTCGAAAAAAAAAACTTTAAAGTAATTTATTTTAAAATTACAAATTAAACTTATTATCTAAATTTAATTTCCAACCTACTTGATGTAAGTTTATGGAATGTCACTAAACAATATGTAAAAAATTTAAATATCCGAAAACTGCAACTCTGCATTCCTGTCCAGGTTTCTACATTCTGTTTATTATTTCAATAGTGGGAATTTAATGTATAAGCGATTGCTTGGAACACCTGTATGTAACTTATTTTCAAATATTTTTAATTTACTTTAAAGAATAATTGGAAGGTTTTATTCGTTTTGATTTTATAATTCATTTGGTATCATTCAATAAAGTAGAAAATAAAGAATTGTTTCCATTAGCTTTATTAACTAGATATTATTTTAACTTACCTTACATGCATTTCCAATTGAGCCTGGCATCTAAATTGTTTGTTACAATGATAGCAAGCATGTTCCTTCTTAGGTTTTGGTTTAGGGCCTCTTTTCAATTTTTCACACTCAGGTTTCTTTTTATAATTTGATGAACTTTTCTTTGGTTCTTTACTACATTTACTGCAACCAAGAATATTATTACATCTATCTTAAACAATAAAATGAACTCTTAAATAGCTGCAATGTCCCATAGCTTTGAAAAAAATATTTTGCTTACCATTTTTTAAGTATAGTCTGATATGTCATAACCTGTAAGAAATTTAAGTATTAACACTGATTAATAATCTATTGAGATCATTACAAATATACATTGTATATTATATTATCCACTTTGTTTAAAACTTACAATGGGGTTTGTCATAATTTCAGCATCTTTTGTTCTGGAAGCAAAATGTAATAAACTATCAATAAAATTCTCAATGAAAGTTACAGATACAGTACATGCTACTAAATAGTTTTAATTCGAACAAAATCATCAGGTTAATTTGTGATACAAAAGTGACAGGGGTTTTATAATTAATAAATACAATTTCTGCACTTAAAAGAAACATACTTGCTTATAATTTCCAGCCCTAAATATTGCCGCAATCGTGAATTAGAACTCTCACATGTCTGTTTAAAATGGTATGCAATCCCTAGTTTATAAGCACAGTTACTACATATTTGGTCAGGTAAGCCGTCATCTTTGCTTATCTGAAACAAAAACAAAAGGTTCCTAATATATTGATATTAGACTTAGTGCTATATTTCAAATGTGTAAAAAGAACAAACTTTGGAGTTTTTGTTCAAAATAAATTAAATTACTTACAGGAGTGTAATATTAATATTGGAAGATAATCTGAAATATTTTAATTTGGTAATTTACTTTAAAAGTTGAACAAATTATGTACCATCAACACAAATTAAATTTTATAACCATAATAAATATTATTATTATTTACCTTAACGTTAGTGATATATTCTATCATTTCACTTAATGATAAATTGTAGTTTTTAGTAAATATTGAAGATAAAATTCCTTCTTCCAAACAGATTCTACATATTTTGTTCATTTTAAATTTGTTTTGTTTTGTGAGTATGGCTCTTTTAATCTTCAATGAAAATCTGTTTAGTACATTGAAATAGAACATTCAATGTTTTTGTAGTGTATAATGTTCTTGTACTATAATAAATATGTACTTTATTTGTAGACAATAAATTCAATTTTTATGTGCATTTCAATTTTTTTAAGAATCTTTTTCCGGTACGGTTTTGACTTTTGGCTTGAGTTTTCCAGTAGGCAACTAACAGTACTAAAGAATAAAGATGTGTCAACTCGAGTTACTAACTCGAGTTAACTCGAGTTGGGCTTAGCTCAAATTAACTCGAGTTGAATTCTCTCGGACTCGAATTGGATTTGCGTGGTAAATGAACGAATCAAGCGAGTACGCGATTGACCTTACGCAAACGCGGCGATTCGTTCGTTGTGTTCATGTTTCCACTTCAGACTATACATTTATGTTGCATAATCGCTCCTTACAACCGAATAAAATGCCACAGTATTTAACTTAATCGCTGTCGTCCGTACTCCCGTCATAGCGTTTCAACCGAATGACAGCGTCATAATATCCATACTAATAATATAAATGTGAAAGTATGTTTATTTGTTTGTCCTTCTTTCACGTCGAAACGGAGTAACGGACTGGGGTAATTTCTTGGGTGAAGATAGTTCATACATGCAGGGCTGGAGAGTGGTATAGACCACTTTTTACCGCTTACACTTTTACACTTTACGTTATAATACAACCCAAAAAAAATATTTATGATCAGAATTACTTGAAACTTGGTATTAAGGCTCTTCAATACAATTAAATAAATAAATGTTTTAGCATTCTTCGAAATTTATCCCGTAAGGGGGTAAAATAGTGGATGAAAGTTTGTAAGAAACCTACCTTTTTAGAGTGTTTTTTGTAGTTTTAGCGCGAGCGAAGCCGTGGGTTCTGCTAGTAATAAAATAAATTAATGTAAAACAATATAAATTATTATAATTGTCCCAAAAAATATTTATAACGAATCTGTACAATTTTTTATATTGATGCGAAGCCGAGTCATTAAATTGGTACAAACAAAACAAATCATTCACTTTTAACCGACTTCCAAAAAAGGAGGAGGTTCTCAATTCGTTGAAATCTTTTTTTTTATGTATGTTCACCGATTACTCGAAGACGCCGAATATGTTATTAAAAAACTTTCTTCTTACAAATTACCTGCTTATTACGTTTACATTAAAAATGGAAAAATAAAAACTTAAAAAAATAATTAAAAACCGATTTCCAAGCACTAAAATGTAAACAATATTTTTATACTAAGCGGAGGTTTTCATTTAGAATAGATACCTAATCAGATATTTTCGAAGTCGGTGCCAGCCTACAATATTTTAAGAAATAAATATCTAATAGGTAAATATGTATTTTAAGTATCGAAATATATTATTTGCTTTGTATCGGCTATGAAAGAGAATAATATCATTACATACATATATATATTAGGGTGTGCCAAAAAATGACGATATTTTTTTTTCTTCGCTCTCACCCCAAAAAATCTCAGATAATGTCCCAACAAAGCTCCTATTAAAAGCGGAGCTCAAAATTCCAATTCTAAGAGGTTCTCCATCGATCTTTAAGTTTTCCCATACAAATTGTATGGAAAATATGATTTTTAACACATTTTTGTTCTGCAAACTGAGACGAAAATATTTTTCAAAAATATGAATGAATGGACCGTTTTTAGTATTAAATTTACTACAAAAAGTTCCATTGCGTTGAATTTCTATCTTCAATATTTGATTTGTTATATGGCTTTGAAGTTCAAATATATGGTTTTTTTGCATTCTTTAGCTTAACTGTAAGAGTTAGAGAAAAATGTTAAATGGCAAATTTGTAGTACGTTTAAAATCCTATAAAAAAAGTATTTGTCAACTTTTTCATATCATCAATAACAAATATATATATATATGAAATCTTTTTATTATCGCAAAACTATTTAAGGAAATTATATATTTATATATCTTATTTATTTAATATGTAAAAATAAATAAATTGCAATTTGGAATTGATACATACATATTTTTATTTTAAGAAATTTCGTCTTGATAATAATTCGTCTAAGAACGAATCGATAAAGTTAATGAAGGTACGTCATGCCACATCACCATGACTAATAAACAAAATTATTCAAATTGATAAGAATTTATTAAAGAGATCGGTTAGACACTATTTTGATATTGTAAAAGTCTTAAAACAATCAAAAAACATATTTGAATGTTTCATAAAAATGTTAAGTATTTTAACAGAAAAATTGAAAAACCACTTACCGGTGAAATGTTACATTTTATTATTTATATCTTTTTCTTATCTTCTTACATATCTTCACTTTTCCTTGAACTATGGCTGTTAAAGCCGTAAGCTACACAAGCCATCGAAACAAAATATTTTTTAAGTTTCCTTAAAACAAAGTCTGTTACATCCAATTACTCTTATAATATCATTAAAATAATCACAAATATCAAAAACATAGTAGGTCACCAGCTGGTCACCATAACAAGTAAAAAGTAGCTTCGCATCATTAAAGACGATAGTTTCTTTATTATTGCGTCTCTCTCTGACTTACGTCATCTCTTAGTAAAATAAAGCAGTGAAAATTATAAGTTTATTGGTTCAGTTTAATACGAGCCCTCCATGCTTGTTATTGCTCGAAGGGCTCGGCTATATATGTAGCAATATCCTCTATGGGCTCGGCTATGTTCGGTTCAAACATGGCCGATACGAAATGTCAAACCTGTCTGTTCGATATTTTGCCCGCGCTTTGTTTGAAAATCAACATTCGCATTCGTATTCGCGAATATTGGAGATGAATCTTCGCATTCGTGAATGTAAAAATCGAACATTCGTTAAGTACATCACTAATATACATACACTTTAAATCATTAGAATATTGCCGTATAATGTAATTTGTACCTACGTCACTTGGCGTTTGCGTCTGCTTATATAAAACGAAATTCATAGTAAAAATTTGGTGTTCCTGGCCTTTGGTAAAAATAATGAATAAAAAAAAGAATTTGGAAAAATATGAATCTCTTTATTTTTTTATTGATTGTTGTTTTAAATTCATCTCATATTGATATTTTATTTTACTCATGTTGAAGGAAAATTGAACAATCGGTTAGAAAAGAAAAAAAAACACATTATTTTTAATATTTTATTGTAACAATAAAACAATATACAAAATAAAGGCACAAAGCCACTGTTTATAATATCAAAAAATGCACATAAATGTTATCAATTCATGAATTTTATATAAAAATATGAGAGTATATAACTTTATATAAAATAACAATTATTATTTTAAAAATGTTAAACATTAGCAATAGCAGAGATCAGCTGAGTATAAATATCGATGCCTTTCAAATAAATCTCTGCATCGAGATATTCGTTGTGATCGTGTAACAGAACGGGCGTGTAGTTCATGGGAGAGAATCCTATAGCAGGGATACCAACACGACGGACATATCGGCTATCGGTTCCTCCAGGAAATATTCTAATATCCAATTTTAAATTCCTAAAAAAGAAATTAAAATATTGCATATGTTAATCATTTACAAAGAATTTCTATTTTATATATATACCAACTATAATGTTTTATCATCATAAATATATAATAAATGTTGTATCATTTTCTTAAAATATATACGGACCTACTTCGAGAATAATGGGGACATTAGAAAACAAGGGAAGGGAACATTCTTTAATTTATATTTAGTTTAGTTATTAATTAATTTAAATTAAGAATAGGTACATAATATTCGATATATCCATGTATAAGATGTCGTTCGTTTGTTCGTTGGATGTCCAAAAAAAATATTCAAAAGATATACGCGTTAGACTAGTTTAATAAAGTAACATGTTTATAATTTACATACATTTTATCTGTAGCAGATTTAAAAGCTACCCAGAAAGGATTACTGTTGTCTGTCTTAGTACATTCAACATTCGGATTTTTCTGTTCAAATTCATATGTGACTCCTTCACCGGCTTCCTTACACCATTGTTGTACCTGATAAATAGTATTCTTATTATAATAGACATACCATTGCAGCTTTATTAATAAGCAATGTCTCATAATATCATTGTATAATAATTCAAATAAAATGTTATTATTTAAGTACAAAAGTTACTTATTTTGATAGCGTTTTAAAAATGAGTTGATTAATGAAAATCCTTACTAATCCATATCCATACTAAATGTGAAAGTTTATGAGGATGTATGAATGGATGTTTGTTACTCTTTCACGCCAGAACGGCTGAACGGTTCAGGATGAAATTTGGCCTAAGCTAAACGAGGGGTAGTCGCTAGCTACCTAGTCACCCTAAAATACACGCCAAAGTGATGTCAGCAGTAATATCCCTTTGCGTATGAAAACCAAAAATTTCAAATATTGACGAATGACAGTCACACGAGTTCCCGTGTATAGTATTGGAGACGAGTGTGTACTCAGTTGGAATTCGTTTGAAGCAAACATTTACATAAACGTCAGATATTTGAACCGAAAGCCATTGAAAACCTAGCAAATTCGAATTTTATCCAAAATATCTTTAAAAAAAAATCAATAAATATATATAAAAATAGATGCGTGTATGCTCCCTATGGACTCCTAAAACGGCTGGAGCGATTTTGATGACATTTTCAGGCAATCTTCGATTAGTACAGCGGGGGATCCCGTGAAGTTTGGTATCGATCGAAGTTAGAACGCGGGCGAAGTCGCGGTACCTACTGCTGATAATAAACAAATAAATATTTTCAAGTTGTTAGTGACATAATATGATTCAATAATAATTATTAATCGAATCAATATCGAATAAGTAACTTTTTGTTTATACACACCGTTTTTTCAAATTCCTCGTGATTAACAGTAACGGCCAATCTACAGTCGAAGACGACGGTGAGTTTTTCCGGAACAACATTAGATTGTATACCACCCTAGAAAGTGATTTTATATAATTAAAAAAAAATGATAAACTGACAACAAAATAAAAAACAAAATATTATTTAATAATAACGTCACATTTTCCAAATCCCTGTAAGTTATGAAATTTCCTTGTGGCCTTTTAAAAAAAATTCAATCTAGAATTCTCTATTTCAAGCTCTACTTAACTTAATAGTTCAAAAAGATACCTATGTTAAGTGTACTTAAATATTCATATTATAGCTTTTAAACTTACCAATAATTTTAGTAAATGAGTAGCATGAAAAATTAAAAACAAAATAATAAATCTACAGCACGCTTGTTTTCTGCTTATGTAAAAAAATATGTAGGTATGTAAATTTTCGGTTTTGCAACATTGGAAATCTTTGAAATTGCTTCGCTGTGTGCTTTGAAATTTTGATATAATTTAATGTGTTTTACATCGAGAGTATCTGTTTTCCGCTGCAGCATCAACTCTCACAGCGTTCAACCGTTCGCCAAAATAATTTGTACAGTGTACATGGGTTAGAATACGGAAAAATATTTGGTTGTTACTTATTTATATCTGCAAAGTCGTAGGCTAAGTATATTTTTTTTAAGTTACACCTTTAGATAACGAATAGGACTGGCTAAATAATAGAGATCTGATAGTTAAATACACAATTTCACTTACAAATAGCTGAGTCATATTAACCGTAGTCACATCTCCGATGGTAAACTTGGGATTATTTTCCAAGATTTTCTTCTGCTCGTCTCTTAAGTCCATGAATTTATTAATAACATACCGAATCTGGACGTAATAAAATAAATTAAATTTAGTAGTTTGCTTAATATCCAGTAGTTTATCATACGCAAATAGTAGGTACAGTAAAAACATAATTATTAATAAAAAAATAATAAGATAAAACCAAATGAATAATCTATACATATAATAAAATTCTGAGTCGAATCTATAGGTCTGTCTGTTTGCCGTCCGTCCGTCCGTATGTCTGTCTGTCTGGGCTCGCGTCACGAGAACACCACTGGACAAATTTCGATTAAATATGGTATGATGATAGCTGATTATCCAAGTCAACATATAGGATACTTTTTACTGCGGGAAAATATCTCATTTCTGAGAAATCTATACTAATCGTTAAAACGTAGCAAGGAACGAACCCGAGCGGAGCGAGGATGAGTCACTAGTTTATATTATAATAAAGAATTTGCGCTCAATCGTTCCTGAACAAGTAGGTAATGCTCGCGTGGAATTATGGAAAAAATCTGCATTACATTCAACATTCTTTGCATGCCAATTTTTTGAGCAAAAGCAATAAGACGGTGTTATAATGGTTTTTAAGAGTTACATAAGTCTTTTATAACTAACTAGCATTTCCCGCGGCTCCGCCCGCGTTCATATGACCAATAACCAAATCCTTAGATTTTACATATTAGTATACTCTTACATTGCAGTTTTTGTATTTTTTCTCAGAAATGAGATATTTTCTCGCGGTAAAAGTATCCTATATGTTGACCCGGATAACCAGCTATCATCATACCAAATTTCATCAAAATCTGTCCAGTGGTTTTCTCGTGATGCGGTAACAGACAGACATACAGACAGACAGACAGACAAAAATTCTAAAAACTATAGATTCGGACTCTGTATCGATAATAATGTCCATTTCAATTAGATTTTCCAAAAAATATTTAATGTACAGATTCGACTTAGTTACAATTTTATTGTATGTAATAGATAAGTTTACACTTGACTTCAGTATCACTTTAAAATTACTTAGGTAATATTAACCCTTAGAGCGAGCTACCCTTACAGATGAAACATGAACTTATTTATTATTAATTATTTGAAAAATGAGTCATGAAAATCTATTCACGATAGCCGATGATATCGCGTCACGTTTAGAACTTTTTTTGAAGTTGGTTAAAAAAGGATGTTGTCACAATTACCTTTTCTCCAGAATTGTTTGGTAATAAAAGCGATCCGTGGCCTGGTTGTCCCGTACATATAACATGTATTTCTAAAAATATATAATATCAATATTTAATTCATATTATACATATTTCATTTTATAACATTTATTCCTTATGTACTCGTATTTATTAATTACTAGCGGCTCACCCTAGCCCCGCTTGGGTTCACCTCTATAAAATTAATCAAACGGAAACCATACATTTTTCCAAGATAAAGTCCGAGTAGCCTATGTGCTATTCCAAATATAGTCTACCTCTGTGCCAAATTTCATCCAGATCCATTCAGCGTGTTCTGGCGTGATTGAATAACAAACATCCAAACCATCCATCTAAACTTTCACATTTATAATATTAGTAAAATTGCTTTATTAAAAGAAATAAATAAAATTAATATTTATGTAATGTACCCAATGATTGAAATCAATACCACAACACGTACCGAATGCGGCCGATCAAATCCTACCTACATATCTCATATAGTAGGTACTCGTAATTTGACTACAACATTGTCTTTCGGTATACATAATTGAAAATACCTACCTCTCACAGATATATCGTATCAATAGTCTCTGAGTAAAATAGCTGTGACATAGGGACTGATGGACATGAGAAAATTATAAAGGTTCCTTTTTTGCCTTTTCACTATGGAACCCTAAAAAAGTGTGATTTTATTTGAAGAATTATAGGACGAATAAGAAATGTCTATAATTAAACTTACGCCAAATGCTCCGTTCTCCATTAAACACGATGAACTCTTCACCAGGATTGGCCATGCCTTCATCTAATGCAAACCCAATGTTAAGAGCCTTGAAGCTGTCAGTTTGAACAAACTTTTCCATACCATCATGACCTCCGATTTCTTCATCTAGAAAATTAACAAGTGGTAGGTGTACATATACTTTATTAATTTAAAAGCATGTTTTTTTTAAAATTAAGCGTATATAATGAAAAATCGCAAAAAATATTTGTCATGTGAGAATTTCAAAGAATATTTTGCTTTTAATTCCATACCAGGAACGAAACTAATATGTAGAGTTCTTTTTAATTGGATCCCAGAGGTTTTTAATTTCCGCACAGCTTCCAAATATTGGATGCCGACACATTTCATATCTTGCGACCCTCGCGCGAATATTTTGCCATTTTCATCAATATGCCCACTAAACGGGGGGTAGGTCCAACTATTCTGAAACAATCGGCAAAACATTGAAATGCAGCAGTCTCATACGCCTAGTTAAATTTATTGTCAAGTGATATAAATGTTAAAAAGAGCATCTTCTTACTTTATACGACAACTGACAAGTTGCACTAAAATTCTCCATTGGAAATTGGAACAGTACAATTGGACGTTTGCTTAAAATATTTAGCTCGTTTAAATCAAATTATGAGTTTCTTTACATCAAATTAAAAATGTGTTTTGTTTTAGGTATAACGTAGTTGATTCCTTCCAACATTTAAAATTTAAATCTAATAATTTAATAATAATAATTTAAATAATTTAGTATAGATAATTTAGTCATTTCTTGTATTTTTTAATTGTGTGATGAGCAGATTGTTTGTAGGTACTCCAGTTTAAAAAAGGTGTTAATATTTATAATATGTATGTATTTAAAGATTATAAGTATATGTGTAGTGTATCAACTATCTGGTATCCATAACACAAGCCTCGTAGCTTACCATGGAACAAGATGGTGCTGTCCCAACATATTTATATGTTCCAATCCTTTAATTGTATAGAAATTGTTAAAACTATAAGGATTTTAAATTGTCTGATAATAGTCAGTGTATCCATCTCTACAGCATCGTGCGGGGCAAACATTTACATACATTGGCTATAACGGGCCAATGACTGCATAGTGTCAAAAAGACTACATATCATTCATTTTATATTGCTTTTACGAGATCTTACTAATTTATTAAAAATAAATATTATCAAACTTCAAATGTATCTTTACATTTTAGGGCTACATTTTCGTGTTGCGTGGCGCGTGTGAGGCAATTTCCAGCGAGATTTTTTTACTTTTACCCTCAGACCAATAAAAAAGTATAGACGGAGCCGTTGTAAACAAACGCGACGAAATAAGTGATGTAAAGTTTTGGCTTTGTGTGCGTAACTCTGTGTAAGATTAGTCTTCATAGGGCTGAATCGTCTTCATATTACTTGCATCACTTTTTGTGCGCAATGCCCTGTCTATACTTTTTTATTGGTCAGAGCTTTTACCGCGAAAATATGTACAAAATAAATATGAACTCTGGACTTTAGACTTAATAACGAAACGGCTATCGATAGATTTCAGGCTTCATTCATATCGAATCGAATATATCGCTTTGCAAAATGACCAAAATAATCTTATTTAAAATATTAAATTTAATATCTATGTCCTTGTTTCAATATGATGGTTATTTTAATATAATATACCGCAGTAGGTACATACATAAATAACGTTACTATTAATCCATAATTAAACAGCTGTTTGTTTATTAACGATGCAGTAGTGCAATAATTTAATTTCATTAAACAAAAAGTAGATATTGGAATTTTTAGTAACACAATTTTACCTTACATAAAATTAATACTATTTACCATGATGTTTATAATAATTAATAATTAAACTAGTAAATTAAAAAATATTTATTAAACTATAAACTGGATACTTTGCCTTTAAAGCTTAAAAAGTCTTTATGATAAATGATATTATGTTATCATTTACGTAATGTTAGACTATTAAAACTTTGCAAGAAATTTTCGTTGACTTTGTGTTTTCATTCTAAACTCTATAGCTTTTGGCACGCTAGTTAAGCAAAATTTACTTTGAAGTTTGATTTTAACGATCATAAGTAGGCATCTACATTCTATACCTAAAATCATCTTAAAAGTATAAAGGACATAAATTTGGCATTTTAATGGACAAAATAGAGCGGCTTATCGCCATTAAGGAAAATATGTATATTGGATTCATCAGAACAAACCAAATGAGTACTGAGAGCGAGAGGATGTATAATATCTAGTAGGTAACCCTTGACAAACTCTGTTCTGTCGAGCGGTAAAGTTATAATTTTACACGTCAAAACTTGTTATATAGTAGATGATTTTAATTTTATGATTTAAATAAGATTAAATGTAAAAATATCAACAAAAAAAAAGTTTATTTTAATATCAATACTCGATGAAATAAACTATTTCTTTTTCCGGTGCACAGCTCCGGTACACCAAGTTTTTTCTATAATATCCTAATAGATAGGTATATAATTATACTATTAAGTTACTACAGGAAGTATACTGTATAATCTTAGGTATATTAAGAGATTAATAAGAAAGTCTAAGCAAAATGAGCGCTTAATAAAATAATATAAGAGCAACATTGAATTAAAAGTTTATTGAAATAAGTATTAAATTACATTTTTGAATATATTAAATTTATTATTAAACACTAATTCTTTGTTTGTATTCAGCCCTTTGTATAAACGTCCCATTGCTGGGCACAGGCTTCCCTTCAATACGAGGGGGATCAGGCCATAGTCCACCACGCTGGTCAAGTGCGGGTTGGCGGACTTCACATGTCTTTCGAAAACTTGTTAAGTTCTCTCAGACATGCAGGTTTCCTCACGATGCTTTCCTTCAAGTGGTAATCATGTTAGAAATGATTCGCACATGAAAATATCAGAGGTGCGAGGCCCGGGATTTGAACCCGCTTCACTCGGTTTCACAAGCGATCGCGTTACCACTGGGCTACCGCTGCCTTTATACTAATTCTTTATATCATAATATTTAACATAAATACTTACTTCGAACACAGGTACGACGTCCATATGCGAGTTAAGCAAAATCGCAGGAAGCGAGGGACTCTGTCCAATCCACGTCAACACTATAATCGGTTTCTGTGGTACTATTTCGTATACTTTATATTCCAGTTGGAGATCTTCGCTCTGCTTTTTAAGGAAGTTAAGGCATTCATCTAAAAGATGATTGAAAATGAATGATACACTCTTTACAATAGCATTAAATACATGGAAATCAAATTAGAAGTCAATAACTTCTTAATATTTTAGGCTTAATTGAATTATCAAGATAATTATACATTTTAACTTAAAGGTTAATAAAAAAGATGGTTAATTTTTAGAAAGATTTTTTTTTTCGGTGATAAAGATATACTAAAAAATTGTATCTGAAGATATTCACAAAAAGAATACGTTAAGCTGTGTATAAGTTTTTGTGTAAGTCCATTATTTTCATATAGAAAAAAATATTAAAAAACACAAATATTTAAATGGATAGTTGTTATATTTCTACAAGTACAATGTAGTATTGTGTTCATTTAGGGCTGCCGCTTTGTAGAAGCAACTAAGTACTTAAACTACTTTAACGTCGTCGTTTTTTGTACTTGTCGGCATCAATTAAGAGTTGTGTCGACTACAGTAAAGAATTAGCAAAAGCTAGCTTTAGAATTATTCAGTATTACACTAGTTCTCGAAGCGATTTCCTATCGGTGTCTTCCCAGAAGCTAACTTTAAAGTTTCTAACTTGATGACGAACTTTCATAGAAAGTTTCATCTCCTGTAGGGGATGAACTTTCAGAAATCATTCCTTAGTGCATACCTTTGTTGTAATATACCTACATACGTAAAAGGATTATTGTGCACTATTTGTGCGCTGTATTCGTAGTTTAGAAAATGTCTCATTTCTGAGAAAAAATACAAAAACTGCAATGTAAGAGTATACTAATATGTTACACCTACGTATTTGGTTTTGGTCATCTGAACGCGGGCGCATACCCCGCGGCTCCGGGCAATGCTACTAAGTAATATTATAAGAAATGAGACATTTTAATTTGCAGGAGTAACCTACCTACTTGTAGATACGGCTTAGTGACGGTTTTAAATTACCTAGGGACTGTTATAAATCCCTGTTAGTCAATTTAAATTGATTGAGGTCGCACATTCACTGTGAATATACATCAGGTAGCAGGGGTCTATTACTGTCAAGTGTCAACCTTACGACAAAGTTAATAAGAGCTAGAAAGAAGATGGACAAGTGGAAAATTACTATTCGTTATAATGCTTTAAAGTGAAAAATTACCATGTTATCTGAGTTAAAGATAGTGCCATTGTATGACTACAAATTCCTACTGATCTCTTATTCCTATAATCCGGCTATGAAATATTAATGTTTGTAAACGCGAAATTTTGTTTTTTTGTTTATCTTACTTTTGGGCACTAGGTACTGGTATAACGAATTGACATAGGTACCTCGACTGCTTTGCCTCAGAAAATCATGTGGTTATTTACTTCTTTATGGTCTTATCGTAATGTACATAGAGCCTTCATCATCATATCATTAATTAAGGAATTTTAACTATTCACTACGTTTTCCTATCGAAGTATAATGTTTTACGATTAATAAAAAAAAAATCTTATTAAAAAAAATATGTCTCTGTTTTTGAGGATTAGTGTAGTGTACCTTCATTATTTGCTATACGATACTATTGTATATTTAGATTTTACCGATGTCAGAAACATTGTTTGCGTAAGAGATATATACTTGTAGTTAGTATTCCATCGTTTATTAATAGCCTGTGAATTATGATAATGGGCTCTTTCGTGTAATATTATGGAATTTTCCTAGATAAAATGCACATATGGAAATTACTGCGCGAATCCTACTACAATTTGCCAGCATTCATTGTCTTTTTGTTCTTTAGAGTAGATACTTTAAAATGTTACTCATTTCAAGTTTGGTACAGAATATATGATTGAGGATAGAGCAAAAACGTAGTAATTCTGAAACATGTTTCTTACATTGGAGATATCCTTAATCTTCTATATATTTTCCTTTTTATTTTCTTTTATGGTACTCGCCATAGTATTACATAATGTTTTTAATTTACAATCCAATTGATAAGCCAAACCTATTCGACATTCGTATGTAAATAATCGCAAATTCGCTATTTAAATATAGCACAGATGGCCTAGATTTAGTACTAAGCTTCTAATACTTCGGATACGGAAGTTTAAAGAAAGTATGTAATAAGAAGTTTTTCTTATATTGAGTTCAGAAATAAGCATGATAAGCATCGAATAAAATTATCATTTTCTTTGAGACCACGTTTTTCAAATGATTAGATAGCGAACTTTTATTATAATTAAATAACATTTTTATTTAAATATTACATTTATAAATATAATTATATGTATAGTAAAAAATAGTATTTAAAATGATGCAAAATCATTAAAAGTTCGATAAATGCCGTTAAATAATTTAAGCTAGTTAAATATATACATATTAAGTACACTAATATATGTATATTGTACATAGTATTAAAAGTTTACCTAAATATTTTTAACACATAAAATATTTAGAGTTCTTTTTTAATTATATAAATAAAAAGTAATTAAATAATATATTTACCGTAATTTATGTTCGGTTGGACACTAGGTATCTGCAGATATTCTACAAAATTTGCAATAGCAGGATTGTTTTTGTAATCAGTAGACATTTTTCTTGATCTATTTCTCTGCACTACCACTATAGTGTCGTTCTCGGCTCACTGACAGTCGAAGTGTCCATGAGGCGTGACTCGCGAGGTACAATGTACTTAATACGTGATAAACACCGGTATTAGTGTGGCTGTCCACTAAAAATTATGATAGACGGAGCTTATAAAACAATAAAAGTGTTCAGCCAAATTCCATCATCGTCAGTGTGTGCGTGTGTTTCGAATTCTAGTACGCTTATCATACAAATATAATACCACTAGGCACAGTCTACAGGCGTCAATCAAATTGTTTTCACGCTTTGTTAGTCTATCTTAGTTTTTAGACATGAATACCATTTTGGGTTTTTTTATAAGCATTAAGCTTGTTTTCACATTCATAAAAAAACATTGTTTTACCGGAATCCATTCTATAGGAATATTTGAGATAAATATTAATTATTGTCAATTGGAAGAAACATTTGAAGTGTTGGCAACTTTAAAATATTAGCATTGTTAATCTTTTAAACAGTGTGAGATAGCGTAAATAAATAATGTCTAATTGAAATTGATTTTGTTTAATGATGTATTTTGTAAATAAGTATACTTATAGGCCTTCTACATATAACAGATTTCTAAAAAGGAAGTGATTCCAATATTATTTTTTTTCAATCTTTTTGATTATATACGCCTCGAGGGATTAATGATAGGCGTAGGACCAACATTTGGAAGAAAATGAAAACAGATTTCTATCCCCGAAAGGCGAATACGGTGGAAAGAAGATATCTACTAACAATTTTTTTCATTATACAACAAGTCATTTTTATTGCTTGTATTTGTTTACAAACTTAATTATTGTTTACGAGTTCGGGTGCTGTATACGGCTTGATGTTTACCCTTTTGCTGTAGGTAATTTACATATTTTGGCTATTTCCCAATATGTTTTATTATTATTATTTATATCTCTTTGGAATTCACGGGTTGGTCCTTTGGTAGGCTTGCGTGGGCCGTGGGGACACAGGTCCAACACGTAGAGGGCCCATAAGAGATTTAAGTTTGTTTAATGTAACGCCTTAGCTGGCATCCATCTTTGAGTATCCCATAAGGAATTGCCCAAAGATGGTCTGCGGATAATGTGTACGGACTATGGATAACAAGGAAAACTAAATAGGGTTATGGAATGGAGTTTGGATGGACTAAAAACTGGGTTATTGGATTATGAGACTACCGGACGTCAACCTGTTCAAAAGTCTCGGGTTGAATATTTATTATTATTATATTAAAAAATTGTTATCAATATCTATAGATTCATAGCGTTATTAACGTTACAATAGTTTAATAATATTATATTATGAATTTTTTGAAGTGTAAGGAATGAATCTCGAATTAGATTTTTAATTGTGTAATTTAATTACTTACTTGTCCTTTACATCATTTATAATGAACAAGAAAATAAATATGGTTTAGAGAAAACAAACATATTACGACGAAGGTAATCATTTGAAAAATTGTAAAGCAATGTTATTTTAAATGAAAAATGTAACATTTTATTGCAATTATTTTCCTTTAAACTTCAACGGTAAAGTTGTTAATAAAACAGAGTAATTGCATGTTACATAATAATATAACAGCAATCATTTCTTATCAGTGTCTATTATTGTAACAGTCTCCATTATGGAATAATTAATAAAGTAATTTCTACTCGGTAGTGCTACAGTCACTTGTTTACTTTTGCACGCATTTATGTTTCAATTATTATAAAATATTAAAGAAATTATAATATTAGTTTACTAGAAAATTCTAACCACTACCACAGATTAGAGACAGGTAATAGTGGTAATACGGAAAGGACCGGAGATACTGTGACCGGTGGGCGGTGACGTCAGACGTGTATTACAATGTTATGACAACAATCTTATAGGGTTGCCATATCATGTAATTTAAATAAATAAACTGTGGAAATATTAAAAAATAATTTTTTTGTTTACGTGCTATCGTCACAGTGTAATCGGTGTAGAATGTAGATTATATGAATAGTAGTATAAATGGCGTCGTGTTTTTTCACTTTCTGCCCGAAAACACTGTTTTTTGTCTTTACACCTACGAATGTGGAGATATCTATACTTATTATAAAAATAAGTCCCCCGGCCGCGTCTTTCTGTCCTCCTGTCTGTCCTCCTGTCTGTCTGTACGCGATAAACTCGAAAACTACTGAACGGATTTTTATACGGTTTTCAACAATAGAAAGAGTAATTCTTGAGGAAGGTTTAGGTATATAATTTATTATGCTTTTATGTAAATTAGCTGAAATACGGCGACAAATGTTGAAGAGGTCGCAAAAAATCTCGCCAAATGGGAACTTTCCACGCGAACGCCGCGTAAACTAGCAAAGATACAGTTAAGTAATGTACTAGAGAATTCAAAATCTATAAAAATGCTACAAAAAAGTCCGCGATAGCATATCTCTATCTCTTACGGTTGACTTACAATAACCACTTTTATGTTAACATTTTTAATTAAAAACATTACGTTATTTTCAAAGTTATTTTCTTTAGTTCGGTATTAATCCTTATCCAAATGAATATTTTAGTTAGCTTAGTCATTTAATGCAGATTAAAATTGCTCTTTACACTAAATCAATCAGATGAATAGTTTTTGAGATATCGTTGTTAGAAGTAATTAGTAGCGAAACATTTTTAATGCTTGGCGAGCATTGAGATGCCTACGGCGAGTCCATCCCCTCTGCCCCGCATCGCTCGACCGCCTGCTCAAGCTATATAAACCGGGCGATGTAGCGCGCGATCCTAGGATACTTTTTACCGCGGGAAAATATCTTATTTCTGAGGAAAAATACAAAAACTGCAATGTAAGAGTATACTAATATGTAACACCTAAGAATTTAGTTTTTGGTCATCTGAACGCGGGCGGAGCCGCGGGCAATGCTAGTGTAAAATAAAAATAACATTGCCTTTAATATATTTTTATCTTCATGAGTAAAATTGTGCTTTAACAGCGCGCATAAAAGCCACTAAATTGAATTAAAAGGTTAAATAATATTAAGCTATTTTTTTCCTCAAATCATATAATCTTGTCTTTTAGTCTTATCTATACTAATATTACAAAGAGGTAAGTTTGTGAGGTTGTAGGGGGTAATCTCTAGATCTACTGAACCGATTTAGATGTTTGGTAAGAAAATAGTTTGAGACCTTAGGAATGACATAGGTTACTTCTTATACGGAAATCATCCCTTAATGGGGTGAAAATGGGGACTAACGTTTGTATTGAGAAGCAAGCTAGGGACGAACCCGAGCGAAGCGAGGTTGAGTCGCTAGTTGTAAATAAACAGAAAACTAACTAGCAATGTGAGAGTTGATTATAGTTTTCCGTATATCTACTATAATAGTTCATCTAACATCTTATAAAGCGCAATTCACATACACATATTGCTCACAATGTAATCTAAATCTACCTTCCTTACAGATAACTTAGGATAAATTGAAGTTCCCGGGGGAGAAGCCAACTCCTACCGGGCGCGTCCCCAGGTGGCGGATAGGGGCATGCCACCCGCTTAGAGGGGCGGGTGGTACCGGAGAAATCCGGCGCGGACCAAATGGCTTGGATGGGGCCGCTCGTCTAGGCCTCGAGCCGAAGACGTTGCGGCCACCGGTGGTGGGACCGCTTGGTCCCACAACCGGATGATGGGTGCCGATTGCGGGACTGTGGTCGCAGGCCCGCATTCGGCGGAGGGGTAGGCCGCGGCGGGAGAGGAGTGCCGGTATTTCGGTGCGCCGTTCTCCCTACCTTCCGCGGCGTAGACGGGGCCGCCACCGTTTGATGGCGGACGCGGTGGGGCTGCAGGGGAAGAGGAGTGTGGGTGTTTCGTTGCCGCTCTCCCTGTCCTCTGCAGCCGATTGGAGGTGGCCCACTTCGGTGGGCGGTGTTTGTGTGGTGTGGGGCTGCTCCGGGTACTTCTCTGATCAGCAGAGTGGACTTAGGAGCGGCCTCACTTTTTGGGTTGTAAGTCTTCCCATAATGGGGTTGTCCCGCTTGGGGCGGCCTCATGGTTGGTGGCTTCGGCCAACCGTCGGGGCGTCGCGGTTGTATGCGAGAGCGATCCCGTGGCACCCCACATGGCAGCAGAGGGGGAAAGTTGGGTTTTAGTGGGTATGCCGGTCTCATTAGCCGGAGAGTCTCCACATAACCACCCCGGGGGAAGTCGGGTGGTATCCGTAATAGGATTTCCCAACTATAAAAAAAAAAAAAAAGGATAAATTGAAGTTCAAGAATTGACTTGGCTAGTTTTTACCAGTAAAGAAAGTTTTTAAAAGAGTGAGATATGTTGACCTTACGATATAAAAACAGTAACTTGCGTATTATAGCATAAAGAAGATATAAGTGATTAGCCGAATATAAAATAACTTGTATGTAAAAACTAGCCAAGTCAAATATTGAATTTCAATTTATCTTAAGTTATCTACTCTGTGTAAATAATTCGACTGTTCAAATTTAAGAAATTCTATTTTTAAATAGCAAACACTTTTGTAGCAGAAAAAACAAGAAATTTTGTTTTAAATTTATTTTAGAATGTTGTATTTTCTTATGGAAATATTTCAGGATTATCTGCAGAACTTGGCACCCATTTAGATCTCAATTCTTTTGTCGATGAAGTTGACAACCACGCATATTCTTAATATTGAACTTGGCTCACATTTTCACATTTATGTTTTTGATGGGATATCATGACTTTTTGTAAAGAAACTGTTATTATTCATAATTCCAAAGTTCCATGTAAAATCAATTTTCTATTTCATAATTTTGCGACTAATCGTTAGTGGATAAGGCGGAATAGGAAAATGTTATTTAATTATGAAACCTTTTCTCCTAAAAAAGAAAAAGTTTTTGTTATAACTATGACTGCTATTGCTATGATATTTCAAAAGACACTTGGTGTTAAGCTATTGTTATTATGTTTTGGAAGGGGCAAGGTGTTAATAAAAATTAATGAATGTGTTTTTCAAATTTTA